TAGTTTGACGTCCGCACTCTGGATTAGGTCGGTTAACTGGCAGCACTAACTTTTACTATTTAATCTCTTGCTATTGATGTGTATTATGTACCCGAAACACGCATACAGGATAATAGCTCCGTGATGAATCTTCGAATCTGGTTCCGAATCCAAGACAGTGACTACACCCTTCGCGTCTCTGGTGGTACTGATCCAACGGCTCAGGATGGTTATAAATCAATAAATGAAGGTAAATTTCTCTACTATGCGTCCATTTCCTTAGTGATTATTCTGCTGGACGCACTCAGACTACCCGACTCAGTGGCATATCCTCCTCCGCTCTAATGACCAACTCCGGAGTTTTTCGGTGAGCAGCTCAATAACAGCCCCCCACAGAAGCCAGCTTACTAAAATATGCTGACGAAATTTTGCTCGGCATCACTCATTGAGTCGCCGATTCCCCACTCAAAACGTCAGATAATCTGAATGACCTCAATATTTGGTCCCAATCTCGTCATCTGTCTCTTAATGCATCAAAATGTCATGATATCCTTTGTTCGCTACACAAAATGTCCAAAGCTGTTTATTGAAGGCGATGGATTACAATGCTGCATCAGTGAAGTATCTGGGTGTGATACTGAACTATGATTTGTCTTGGAATCTTCATGTAAATGAAACCTACACATAAGTCCGAAGGTTGTTTTTCTACGTCTCTAGTCTAAGAGCCTCTTCTCTCTCTCGTCATTGTCTGTGTCCTTCCTTCTGATTTTCCGAATCTTCTGACTAAGGACTATGTGTTAATTGTCAGGTCATTCTGACACATATCCAGAAATAGCGGCGTCCCGATGCTTACTTTTGTTAGCACACTTCTTTCTACACCCACACTTTCTTGTAAGAAACTGGCATCTAAGATCCCGGCTGATCCTAGTCATCCGCTTTACATGGCTTAATCTAAATTTCGATCAACTTCGTCTACCAGGCAGAAATACAAGCTGTTTTATACTCGCACACATGCCTACCGCCCGTCGGTTATTCCTTATCTTTCGCGTTCTCTGCGAGACCCCAACTCTGTCCTTCTAGATCTAACCAGCCGATTCGCAGTATGACGGCATTTCTGTTCGTTCTTTAGCAAACCAATTTATGCTTTTTCGGTGCTTTTTTATATTCTGGCACATTTATGATATCGTGTGTGTTGTAGCTGAATATTCACCTGAGAAATGTGTGTGAAGCAGTTTTTAGCGAATTAACTTAACTTGAGAGCTGTTAACCCCACATTTTCACTTGCTTCAGGTGCGGTCACAGCGACCAAGGTTCACTTCAATGCGAATCGCCATCCACATTGAAAATGTACGTCGTAATCTAGTAACCATTATGTCAAAATAACCCTTCTACTCAGTAAGTAACACCAGTAACATGCGTTGTCCGCTGTAACTCGGTGGCTTTGGAGTATAGGTCCCGCCTCACATTACCAGTTCGAATGCAACGCAGTACGAAAGCGGTCGTGGAGTGTTGCTAGGTGACGACACCCGAATTGCATGTGTTCACAGTTTCTTCGCTTTTCCATTAGCATACCCACATAGCAACCCCACATCTCTGTCGCTACGGATAGCGTTGAACAGATTCTTATCCCATACACTCAAGGCAACAATGAATGGACAGTTCTGTTGTACGTAGCGAAGATTGAAGCCTTTTGAGCTATTCAACGTTAATGGCCAGCTTTTTCGACGTCGTCCACGAAACAGACCAAGTTTAGCAAAGTGGAAAAGATAGATCGATATCCCTAGCAAGTAAACAGGCGGTTATACTTTATATGTTTACACCAAAAATTCATGCCTTTCAAGGATATTTCTTTTACTCAGCAATGGTGAGCTGGCAGAAGGGCCGGTCTCAACGACTGTCACAAGTCCGAGAAAAATGTTTTTGCATTGCTTCAAAAAGTTGTCTGCAACTTTCCCTATTGTGATTCTGTGTACTAGGACATAGAATTCATTGTGATGCATGCAGCCGCAGCCGAATAATCAGAGCACCGGAATGTACGTATGACGATATTTGCGACCAGTCCACTGAATAACTTGGCCTGAGTCAGGCAGGCCTGATGAACCACGACCGAGAACACTCGGGACCAGCATCGAAACGACGACGGGTGCTGCTGAGAACGTAAGCAGAAGCGGCTCGGCGCTGCTACTTACGCCGTAGTCGATTTACTAACGGCGTGCTTGCGTGCTGAGTTGCTTTCTCTCAGGTGATTGGTTACCATATTGTTACCACTTGTTAATGTTCACCGGAATAATCTGTTCACTTTCACATGTGGCTTACAAGAAAGGTGATTATTTGCTGTACTATTATTCGTGTTTATTGCGTGTGCTTTTGCTCTCTTTTTCTGTCTTCCCGAATTTATCGTTGATATGTTGATAACACATTTATTCATATGCTAGTTTGGTGAAGAGTTAATTCGACATATCTGCATGCTTCATACGATTTATCTTATTTGATGTCGTCATTTCAAGTGATTGTATGTTGCTTGACATCCCCAGTGTGGCTGTATTTGATGTGCATGTTGACAAGGTGCCTACCAGTCAAGTACCCACTACCTCGTTCATACTGGCTCCAGGAGACCTTTAGCCGTTGCTGAAGGGGACGGGTTGCATGGTCCTCGTGACCCTGTTGGTCTCAAAGAGTAATTCTATGCACATGGAATATGAGTGGTGGAGGCTAGGACCTAACCATCGCGTTGTGTTCGCTTGATTCCCAACCGCAACCTTTTGGTGTTTGCCTGTGAAGGAGTGTGGGCCGGCTCCGTTGATGAAACGTGACTCCAATCCACATGCCTCCCGGTCTTATTTCTTCTGGTTTACACCGCATATGGGGTGTGTAGTTGGAGCTGTGGGTGGTGCAGGGCATGCCACCCATGGTCCATCTGTAGGCGCAGGCGTTCTGTGACGTTCTTATGGAGACCGCAATGAAAGGCAAATCCGGAGTCGGATGCTACCAACCATATGAGATACGGGCAGTCTGCTGTTGAAAATTCTTCCCAAGGATCTGTTAGATAACCCATTAGACTGGGGAGCTCAGCACATCGCTGGTCCAAAGGATACATTGAAAGCAAGTCCCACGAGTGTACTCTTTCTCAGTGTGCAAACCACCTCACTCACTCGTAACTTAAGTATCAATATAGCTTAATCCCTTGTGTGCATTCCTGCTGCGTACGCATTGGTTTGTGTCTTATTTGCTTAAAGTTACTTGTTTAACGGTTTTTTGCTGTCGTGGCTAAGCGCATTCATTACGGGCTGATGTTATGTAACCACTGGTCTAATCGCCCCTCAACTGGCCGGAAACGTCTCCATCAAGTGCTACCCTGGAGGTGAGTCAGCGCATCGAAATACCCCAGGCGGCAGGAGCAGACAAGACAAAGATGTACCGCTGCCGGGCACACCCATTGTGGTGACTTTATTAGTATGTGATCAGCATTGCCTAGTTGATGATTCCCGACATGGTGGTTATGGCACACGCGTGACGCTCTCGAAGTCCTGACCAGAGCGTGGTCGGTTCTCTAACTGAACTTCGTTTTGAACCTATTACTGTCACGAAAACAATGTGCTCTGACAATATACACCAAGGTTGGAGGTCTCTTGAAGGCCGTTGTAAAAGCGATGCAGAGGAATGGATATTTGTATAACCAACATCAATGTCATATGGAAGCCACGCGTGACAACTAAAGCGACAGTAGACACTTGTTCATTCACCGGTAGTCGAGCAGGGACGTTAGGGCACCGTGCTAGCTGAGTGATTGTCAGCAAGTGACCTAATAATAGGCTGGATCGGTCGGTTTCCTGGTTCATAGCGGTGTTATATAAGGATACTGATGATTCCTAACAAGGTCGCGAGAGACACAGGGAACTTTAATACAGCAGTATCTGCACAAGAGAAACTGGTCGGAGTTCACGTAATGTCAGTCGACAAACTGTAACAGTTTGCTAGTAAAAACGCCCTTAATATCACAACGGTGTCTGATTTTGGCTATACAGAAAACTAGGAGGTTAATTTTCGGGTTATGGAATACCCACGGTTTTAATTCGAGTCATGGAGGACAGCTTACTAACTACTATGTATTACTATACTCTCACCAACACAGCAATTAAAAGTGCATTTTACATGTCAAACACGTGTGTTCCGAAAAATGTTGGCCTAAGGGATATAGAGAGGAGAACTGATTCCAGTACTGGAGCAAGACGACAGCGCAAATTACTTTCGAGGGTACAAAGCCACAGGTTGTGATGGTAGTCCCGTTTTGCCCAGGTGACACACTTTTAGCAATGCTGATTCGCTAGAGGCAGTTCGTTGTGCAAGCATGTTGTCATGAAAATACGGTCAGGAATGGTACTCCATTCGTACTCGATTCCACATATCACCACTGGCGGTTGAGTTCGACAGTAACTCACATTTTGTGTATGGAGACAACTTCACAGCTACATCGCGTTCGTTTCCCACTCAACTTCACATCGTACTAAAGTTGTGCTCTTTGGATGCTAGGTGCTACTAGTTTCATACTACCAAAAGCGGTGTCCAGCTTGTAGATTCATCAAGAGACGGGCACCTCCCCCTGCGGTGTGAAACATGTTATATTAAGCAGGTGAATTGCGGCTGTATGCAATCAGTAGCCGAGTCTCACACTACTGTTTATCGATAGAAAGTAAATGTTTGTGAGGTGAGCTTAGTCGTTTTTATAGACCGCTGCTAAGCAAATGGGATTTATGGTTCCATATAATCTCGAATAGGATACTTTTTGAAAATCCACTGAATGCATTAAAACGTGCACGCACAGATTATTCCAAGCAACACCAGATACCATACGCACGTTTCCTCAATGAAGTGTCTTTTTTTAGCACAGTTACAGAAGATTGGTGCAATTCGACTGTGAGATGGCGGAAGTTTCATGCCTCCCGATTCGTACGCCGGTTCTCGTTCCCCGGGCACAACTTTTCCGCCACGGTACCTACCCAGCTGCGTGAGAAGATGATCACTTGCTTTGGAGTATTGCATTTATGCAAAAGGTATGAAGAAAAATATTGAGCATGGTACTATCTTTCCGGACAAATACAACATCCGGAGCAAAATCACTCCTCTGGTCGCTCTCTCAGTTAGCCACAGCGGTACAGCAACACGCTGAGGTTGTCGTGCGTGAAGTGGATGTAGTTTTGAAGGTCGTAGGTAACATGGCTGCAAAATGGAAAACAAGGGTATGGCTTTCCGGCATGTTGGTTTAAATGTAAATGATCGATTAGCACCATGAATCCACATAAGTAGTAACCTGCTGCTCCGACACCCACGGGGATATTCAAATTGATATTAAACAAAAGAAAATTGTGAACTGTGGCCTTCTAAGTAAGCGGCAGCGGGGGCGAATACCAACTTCAATCTTAGTGCATTACTTGAGCAGGTGGCGCATAGCCTGCGAGATTGTGTACAGTTGAATACTGCACACTTATTTTACAAGTCATGGATTCACATGAGTTTGAGAGCAATCGGTTGGCGTAATGGTTTAGCAACGTTTTCCCTTTTACACTCAGTATCACTGAGACTTTGTCAGACTAAGTGAATCAGTATGAAGTGGAGACGTGTTATAGTGCCACTAAAATATACCAATACTACACGCTCCTCTCAGTTCAATCAACTTACAGACAAAGTAATGCATCACAAGATCGGTCGTCGTTCTTAAGCATTAATAATAATGGGGAATTAATAGGTTGCGTACCTTGCGAAGTCCCGTCCTGCAATACAGTGCCAAGTGGGCTGGTATTCTTTGTCGAACCCTGATTTTAGGTAAGAGCAGATATCCTTTTCGTTGTCACACTTTTCAATTGCTTCATTAAACAATTGCAGAGCCATGTCCCGCATCTCATCCGTCATGTCACACTTCTTCACAGTGAATTTAGAGTAGTTCATCCCTGGGTACTTATTCTATTTTAGCTGTAGTGTTTGTAACCGGTTTTTATAAGGCTGCCACCGGAATAGGAGTTATGCAAATTGTATGACCTTGAGCCCTGAAGCGCCGGACTACGTTGGCTGCGTTGCTACTGGGGTATTTCACACCTAGACACACGCAGTCTGTTGCTCCAGCTCGCAAAACCTGTCCTCTCCGCCGATCGATTTTCTGTGCGCAGTCGCGTTGTCTGCAACACCTGTTACTCACAGCCGGTTTGGCCCGTCGTGTCAACCCTAAGGACCGCGTGCACATCTCGTGAGACAGACCGGTTAGAGTGCACTGAAAAGACATTCTTAAACATAAAGTACTTTTCTTTTACTATTTGCACTTTTTTGGCAGCGTAGCTCAAGCCGGTTTGAAGAAGTGACGTAGCTCGTTGAGAACCGAATTAAAGTTTACGTAACGAGTACAAATCTATGAGCGCTGAAACAACCTATATTACACGAAAATCTGAAGCAACGTTGTGACAGCCTTTTACCCGCTATTGCCCACTGTGGCTTTCTATAGTGTCTGCCTTCATACCTTGGCAACACGTGCAGTTCGGTCGATGTGTTCGGTCTAACAAATGCCACTAGGCCCACGCTAAATTTGAACCACTGTAATAAACGCCAAATGATTTTTTTCGGAATGGTTCACGCAGTGCTCAACGACCCTCGTGCACAGTGGTTGATTCGCTTTCTCCTAGCTTGATCAGCTTTTCGTTCAAGTGTTGGCTCCTTTCTCTCATTTAACTAGCTCAGCTGCATCTATATCTTCGGACTATATCCGAGAGAGGGCAGGCACAGCTGATGGTCTGGCTAATTCGCTAATTTTGTGGAACAATATTATAATCACCCTTGCATTTTCGCTAGTTATTAGATTAAACAAAGAAAGGCAGAATGTACCAAAAGAATTCTTTGCGGTAATTCTCATCAGACTCAAAAATTACATGACGACAAAGTGCTAACTGGGTCGGATTGGGCTGCATATTGAGCAGAATGTTTAATTCCATCGGGAACAAATCAATAAATTACGGGGTCCTTGAGCGTTGCAAATCCCAGTAAAAGTTGTGCGTCACAGTAGAAGTAAAAGAAGTACAAACTGCATTTTACGCGCAATTCTGGCTTGAGGTAGCGGATATAGATAGCTTCTGCGATAGCCTGGCCATGCTTCCGGAATCCGTGCAAGCAAACTTCAGAGATAGTAAAGAGGACTCTGAAATCTTTTTCTGTCCGTGCTATGTCAGTTAAACCATAGCAAAAAGGCTGGCCGTTACCGTGGTGCGATGGTTTGGGTGCCACAGTGATCCATTGGGCTCTGCTGGGTGGTGCTTTTGCACCTTCAGAACCATTTATACCAGATTGGTCAATGGTTAGAGGCCAGACAAACTCAGCCTCCTGGTCTTCCAGGTTGAGGGGTGGAATGAGGGTAGCACCTTATTCCTTAAAATGGACTCCTTGTACCCAGTGCCAAATCCGTTTTATTGCGATCAGGTTTTTGGACCAAAGGCTTTGGTCGAGAACCCTAATCGTTCTCCTGCATAGGCCTGGGCAACCTGACAGTATCCTGCCCACGTAATACACCATGACCTTTCTTTCTACCAATCACTTGATGCTCCGGACACTGCAGAGGATAATCAACGTTGCCCTAACTGCTGCATCGATCAGGGTGGATGGAAGTTTGAATGCTATTGCTCAAGCCTACCCATCTTCTTATTCCCCTTTTAGGCTTTTTCAATCTTACCTTCCCGTTCCGGCTTCAAATTTATCCCCCCAGTTTCCAACCCCCAATTCTTGGCCCTCAACCACCTAGCTTTTTTAGGCTTTGCCTTTTATTTGCAACTCGTGTGAAAACGGTGCGTAATTCTTGCCCTGTCGACAAGCCCATGTCCAACCAAGCAGCCAAACCCAGTTCATCGGCTTCCATTTGGAGTCCTTGATCATCCTTCAGATTAGCATGCCTCAATGTACGCACTTTGCTACAAATCAGTCAACAGACAGCAATTGCCCGAACATTAGAGACCCTCTCGATTTATATCTGCTGCTTATCAGAGACCCGACTGCAAGACTCGAGCTCAGTGCTCACTTTGTGATTCCCTTCAGGTGACAACAGCAGTATTTTCTCATTGAGCCTATCCGGTGACAATGCAGCTTCGAGCACTGGCCAAGCTGGTGTTGGTATTACCCTGAGTCCCCAGGCTGAAACTGCTCTGTTTGATTGGATTCCAATCAGTAGCCGGATGTGTGCGGTCCGATTGGCTGGCTGGTTCAAAGCTTCGAAGCCGCAAAGGACTAACAGGTATCTATTTGTCATCGTTGTCTATGCACCTACAAACTAGTGATGATTTGGTAAAAGACGACTGCGATCGCCAACTGAACGACCTCATTCGCCACAGAAGAACCACGGACACAGTTGTGCTGGCGGGCGATCTGAACGCGCAACTTGGGAAGTTGTCCAGTGATGAAATGCGTCTGGGCGGTCAGCACGGTATTGGCTCCCGTAATGATAACCGTGAGCGGTTACTTCACCTGTGTAAAGATGCCCGCTTATTTCTTACGAGCACTGATTTTCGACATATCACTAGCCGGAGGTTGATTTGGCGCCTAACCGCCTCGAACCAGCAATGGACGCAAAATCATCACGTTGCCGTAAGTTACCGATGCAGAGGCTGCGTCAAGAATTGTTGCTCGATTTGGAGCACATGTGTGGACACCGACCACGCACTTGTATGTGCTGACCTGCTGATGGGTTTTGGCGGACGCCAACTGGCAAAACCAGCTGTTATGAATGCGCATCGAAGTACGCTGTCATGCGATTTGAGTAAGCGCTCACTGGATGCAACTGATGCTCACTAGTCCCATATTCACCAGATCTTACAAGCAGCAGGAAAATCCTCATGTGGTAAGTCTAATCGCGCCAACATGGACATTGGGTCTCCTCGCAGTCTCTGGAAATTATCGATGCTCGATATCATATTCCGGCTGGAAGCGAACACCATGCAACTCACAGAACTCCGGGTAAAACTCCGTGCTAGCCTGAAGAGAGACCGCGAATCCTGGTGGTATCATCGTGCATCAGAGATGGAAATGGTTGTTGCCCTTGGTAACCATTGTAACTTACTCCGGTTGATACGGGAAACGGGCAGCAGAAGACCTGCTGTTAGTGAAACTATACGTGATTGGACAGCCTATCCACCACTTGTCAAAACGCTTGGAGCGTTGGACTGAGCACTTTGAAAGGCAATTTACTCGGTCGGAATTGTTAGATTTGTTGCCAGCCACCGATCGCCCCGCTCTCTGGGCTGTAGATTTGGTTCCACCCACTGGCTCAGAAGTCGAACATGAGATGGGACTGTTGAAGTTCAATAAAGCCCCGGGACCAGATGATGTTCCTCCAACCCTCTAAAAATTCGGGGGACCTGCTCTTGTGGATGATTTAGACGAGTTGCTAGTGGAACTGTGGGAGCACGGAACTGCCCCAACCGACTGCAGCCGTTCCGTCATGGTCCAAATTTTCAAGGGAGGCTCACAATCGGAATGCGGCAACCATAGCGTAAGCAATCTGATCTCCATCGTTGCAAATTGCTGGCCTCTGTCATTCTTCACAGACTGACTGGCACTCCTGAAAGCCATATTCGTGAAGAGCAAGCCGGGTTTCGTCGAGGTCGTGGTTGCGTTGATCACATCTTCACTTTGCGTCATTTGTTGGAGCACCGTCACACATATTGGCGACCCACCGTTGTCGTGTTCCACGATGTTAAAGGTGCATTCGATTCGGTGAATAGACGTACACTTTGAAACTGCTTACTCAGGAAAGGTATACCTGAGCAATATGGAAATATTATCCGAGCTTTATACGCGCCTAGCTCGGGTAGAGAGAGGGCTTACAGCAAGCTGTCGTCGAACTTTCATATCTCCAGTGGTGAGAGACAAGAATGCCCACTGTCATCATTCCTCTTCAGCTTCGCTATTGATGAAGTCATGGAAATCTCTTCACATGACACGACTAAGATAGTGTGGATCTGCTCCCAGGAGAACGACTTCTTGACTTGGAGTATGCTGACGATATTACCCTAATCTGTGACAACTCACAAACGTGCCAAGCGGCACTGGACAGATTAGCACTGGCTGTCGGTCACTTCGAGCCTTGTTTCACACCCTCGAAATGCAAAGCGTTCCTCCGTGATTGTGCTGGTCCGCTTCCTACGATGACCTTTTGTGGGGATCTGCTAGAAGTCGTTCAAACTTCAACTACCTCGGAAGTTGAACCAGTACCAGTGGGATTGAAGATGAGATCATGAACTGTATAACAAAAGCTCCATTCGCTCTTGCTAACCTTCGCCACTGATAGCTCCGGCGCGACATCATTTTCACCATAAGGGTTAGGGTGTAAAAGGCAGCGGAACCTTCGACTCTACTGTACGATTGTGAAACCTGGCTGCTTAGATCAACGGACATAAAGAGGCTAGTTACGTTCGACCACCGGTGCCTTCGCAATTTAGCTCACATCTGGTGGGAACACGGCGAGAGCAACGAGCGTGTTCGACACCTTGTTTACGACAAATTAAAAGGAAATGAATAGTTCGGCACCGTTATTTCACTCTCCAGGCTCCTGTGGCTCGGCCACGTGTTACGCATGTCAGTCTAACGACTCGCGCGACGGGTGTTGTTTGCGCGACGGGGGTGCAGATGGAAGAACAAGAGGGTTGGCCAAGAAATGACTTAGTTGAGGGGAATGAAGGCCCTCCCTTCAAAGCTGGCCTCGGTTGGAGCGTCTCGACGACCTGGCTAGGGTACGAAAGACGATAAACACCTTTGGCCGGATACACTTGCTGACATCGTTGGAAGACGAATTTAGTGACGTTCTTGCTGTGAAATTTTATGTCCCAGCCCATAACTCTTAGATTACACTCCAAACACCGTCGCATTATTCAGAATTATATGATAAGCATAGTAATAATTTGCTGCATAGTAGAATGTGGAAGCATAACGGAACGATGCCAATCGGTTACCGGTAGATAATCTGGTTTGCACCAGTTGCGGCACAGTAGCTGAGGTGTTCCTCAAATAAAGCTGACGTAGAAGATGATGAAGAAGATGCAGACGATGATGCTGATGGTGAAGATGATGATGAAGAAGATGATGATGACGATGATGATGATGATGTGTTCTGCTCTATATATTTTGCG